GATAGATACAGTGCACAACGTCAATAATAATTATCGTATACAATAATAATAATGCAACAAACCAGTGGGCGGAAGGCGTACAGCTCGTCGTTCCTGGGCATGTACCATATTTAAGCATTTCCGCAATGCGCAACAAAGGTGAATATGGCACAAGCCCTAGACAAGGCATGAAAGGTGGTCCCGTGACGAAAATCAAGCTGGCGTTTGTTCTGATAACCATTGTGATAATGATAATCATCACGACACCGAAAGTATGCTAACAAAGCGCTAGAGCAATGCGCCACACAAAGCAGTTTTTGCAGCGAGTCTTCTTAAGCGAGAGCTCCCAAGTCGACTTCCGCCCACGCTTCCGTCATCCAAGGACGGTAAATCCGCGGACGGTAAATTAGTACCAGATTTGTCTGGGAGGATAAGAACACTGACATGACCCCCCCCCGCAAGTCATTGTATAGGCCACATCGCATTCAATAAGCCACTACGATTCTGAATGGAAGTAGAATGCGTGCCGCATCCCACAAAGGGATCGATCAACGGCGAAGACTTTACCCTTTTACTTGAGGCTTAATCTTTCACACCGTTCTATTTAGGGCTTTTAGGTTACTACCTGATGTCTTACTTGGGCTGAGAATACGTAGAAAACGCAATATTTTCGTTTTAAAAATTCAAAAACAAGCAGCGTTAGCCTATTTTATATTTATTAAGTACATGAATAACTGGATAGATACAGTGCACAACGTCAATAATAATTATCGTATACAATAATAATAATGCAACAAACCAGTGGGCGGAAGGCGTACAGCTCGTCGTTCCTGGGCATGTACCATATTTAAGCATTTCCGCAATGCGCAACAAAGGTGAATATGGCACAAGCCCTAGACAAGGCATGAAAGGTGGTCCCGTGACGAAAATCAAGCTGGCGTTTGTTCTGATAACCATTGTGATAATGATAATCATCACGACACCGAAAGTATGCTAACAAAGCGCTAGAGCAATGCGCGCACACAAAGCAGTTTTGCAGCGAGTCTTCTAAGGAGAGCTGACTTACCCAATTTGGGAACAAAGTGAACATCGTGTACATGTCGTTATTGATTTGTAAACAAAAACAGCTGATTCAAGCAGTTATCGATCGATGGTCGTAGTGGCTTTAGGGAGAATATTAGGGATAGGAAGTGGGAAATCCTTACAAGTGTGTCATAAGTAGCGATTCAATCAATATTCCAGCACGCTTTCAGTAAAAAGGTAGGGGAAATTTCGTCGTCACTGTCAAGCGCATGGTAGTGAAGCTGAAGCTTTGCTACGCTTGAAAGAATGACTGCAACAGTGCTGCGATCGTCGTGCGTATGTTAAAGACACCGTTCAGGATTGCCATGTGGGCGGAGCCAGGTAACAACATTATTTGGTGCCTCCTCTTACGGCGGTGAACAAGGCGGAAACTGCTACGGCGGTGAGGAAAGCGGGAAGAGGAAGAAGACGCCAACGACCTAAATTCCTGGCCCAATCCATGTGACAATCCTGAACGATGTCTTTAACGGAACATTTCGCGATATGCAGATAGGCGGGGACTCGTAATCATTGTGCATTCTTCATTGGTGCTCTCCTGCCTGCAATAGCATGAAGTGGAAGGGCGCACCAATGAAGAAGGCACAATGGTTACGAGTCTCCGCCCATCCGCTTATCGCGAAATGTTCCCTCAAATGGGTGCTGATGAAAATCGCACTTATCGCACACTTATTGTATTAGAGAATGAAGGGGTTGCTTTAACGATGCTCTCTCGAAACCATTCGAACTCAACTTCCGAAGACAAATTAACGATCCAATAGATATACAAGGCGAAGGATAGGAACGACACTCAACAGTTATATACAAAGCATAGCGCATAGGCTTGGCATTACTGATTTCACACGACTTCTCGAGACAAACCGACTGAATGGAGCGGTCGCTGACATCAGCTTGCGCTGGTCTTAGCGACATCAATGATGGAAAATTGTATCAGAGATAACAAGAGTCCAAACGACAGCTCGTGCAGTACGCAGCCATCAGAACTGGTCCACTTATTCATCATCTCTTAAGTCTGGCTCGCCTCGATCGCGATGAAAATTCACAGGTGGTGAGTGAAGGGGTTGCACATGCTAAATTGAGCACATTACAAAAAAAATCACTTTCATGGGGCGGGGGAACGTACCTGATTTTGATTAATATTAACACCAAGAAGATTATGATCACGTTGTTGATGCAGTGGAGCAGGTTGTGGCAGCGGATCAGAAGCGGCAGCAGCAAGGCTTGGGTTTGACTTCGACTGAAAAAATTCTAGCTGAATAAATTTTGAAAACTGCTGAAAGCAATATTCAACGAGTGGTGTAGTTTAGCGCGACCATCCAGTGGTGACGCGCACAAATTACGCGTATTCCCTTCCTATAGTCCTCAACAACCGAATCGAAGTGATTGTCAGTGTGGCACTGATTTTGTAACGGTGCTGGCTCACTTTCCTCCAATCATTCTCGCCTCATCTGGCAACGACTGTTGAAAAACAATCTGGCGCCGCGCCAAAATTGACATCACGCTGACACGCCCCGTCTACTCGGTTGTTGAGGACTGTAGTTGACACGAGACGATGTAGTAACTTCAAGTCAAATCAAATAGATTCTGATGCGAATGCCGCGCACGTGACACCACTTGGCAACACCGCGTCGCTATATTTCCAATCCACATCCTTCAGCCTTTTCATCTACTGAACAAAGGTGCAAATAAATGCCAAAGAAAGCAACGCGGAATAAATTGTCGTCAAAGATCAAGCTCCCTGTCTTTTGGAACGCCCACAAGTAAAACTATAGATGATTGTCTTCTTATTGAACTGCACTCGGGGTTTTCAGATAATAACTTTATTTAATTTTTATTAGGCTGACGTTACGGTGAGATCACCTTCTTCGGAGCCTGCCAGATCCACTAGGTCGGCTACGAGTAGCACAGTCCAGGGAGCCTTCGAACGACCGCAGGCAGCAAAACTATTCTTCTTATTAAGAGAGTGGCCTGCCTCCTAATTCCTACTCCCAATGACACACTAGATTGAGCAAGACACGGTTGTGTGATTTCGTTCAGGAAGAAAATGGAGTGAATATTGAAAAAAAAAACTCAAAAAGTAGTAGATTGTCCGACTCATTATAGACTGAGAGAACTCTCATCACTCACCTTTACAATAGGACAAGCAAAATCAACGTGACGACTTCGCGCTTCTTCCTTCTCCCATGAACAGTGAACGAAGGGACGTTGTACATAGTTGTAGATAACTAAATAAAGAAGATTAAGAAATCAGCAAGTAAAAAGAAATGGGAATGAAGTACTCTTTAGGGCGTGGTATAATCTATGAGGAACGCATGGCACACATCACATCACTGTTTAGGATTTTAGTCGACTCTTTACGGACCCCAGCCAGCCCTCTGCCCTTCCTCATCGAATCGAGCCGTCGAGCGGGGGAAATAACACATGTGAAACAGGAAAAGACGCGAGACAATACGACCCCCCCCCCTCTACAATCAGATTTTCCCCAACTTCCTGCCCTTTTTTCCAAAATTTTCCCGAAAAGTTCCCTACTTTTCTACCAAAAATTTTGCTATCGAGCGGGGAGGAGGGGGGGGTGCACATAGTACGCATGAAACAGGAAAATCACCAAAAGTCAACCGCCACTCCCACAACGCCAAAACGTAAATACGACCCCCTCCCTTTACAACGTCCATGAAGCGAGAAAAATCAACTATCAAAATAAATTTTTCTCAGCTCAAATACGACCCCCCCCCTATTGGGGATTCCCCAACAGCGATGTGCCCTGTGAGGACGTCTGCGGGAATACTTTAAAACCCCATGAAATATGGGACACATATAGCGAAGACGGTTGCCTTTCTCTCTGTGTTGTGAACTGCTCACGAAGACTTTTGACCTATCAGCACAGCTACTTCAGGGAATATTTTATCCCGGTGCTGAAAGGCTAACACTTCGCTTTGATTAATCGCTTTTTTCACTTTCTCTTTATGCGTTGGATAGCCCTCCATTCCTAGCCGAATCTTCTTCAAACCTCTTGATTTCAATACCTGAACATTAATAATACTACCGTGGAAGATCTACATTCTAGATGCGGAATTTCCACGCTAACATTTGTAAGGCAGCGTTCAGCTTCGCGATGACGCGCGTCAACGCGCTATCATTGGCGCAGTGGCGCTCCAACGGTATACGGGAGCCGCAGCCACGGGCGATTATCGAGTAGGGCAGCCACTGCTATGGGAGACAGTATGGGAAAGTACGCTAGCGACCGGCGCCGTTCGATACCTCTCTATGGCTGCGTTCCCGCCTATAGCATTTGAGTACGATGGCGCCCGCGCGACTCAGCCCGACGCGAAGTATGAACGCTGCCTAAACATCGAAATTCAATTGTTTACCTGTTTCGCACAGTCCCGATTCTCAGCATACTTGAAAAATTTGTACAAATGCGAACTGTACACAACATGGGTGGTCTCTTCGCCCATTTGTGGCGGATACTCATCATCCCAATCCACTACATCTTCATCAAGTAACACCACTATATGACATTCTCGTTCGCCATGCTAAAAAGGGAGCTTCATAAAGTCTGATTGAACCGATTATGGCAAACTCGAGTAATAATACCACAGACTCACTTCAGTACTCGCAACTAGTTGAGGAAGTATGATCTCCTCCAGGAAGTTCGAAAACTGTTCTCGGGCTCCTTCGTTCGATAGCTCATGCAGAAGTGCATGCAGGTTTTGGCATCTGCAATAATGCAGCATATGGTGGGGAGATGAGGTCAAAAACGAGCAGTTCGACTTGGTGGGGCCATTTTGGCGGCTCGTATCGATCACGGCCAATGCCTCCTGAGACCTGTGAACTCCTTAAAGCTATTCAGTAGCATGAGCTTCGTGTTCATTCGACAAGAGTTTACAGGTCTCGTCAAGTCGTCTCGTCAAGACGTGTAATTCAACAGGAACTATCAAAAGAAACTGGGGAAAATACGAAATGCCCCTCCCCTCGCCGAAAAGCGCCAAACGCTACTTCCAGCAGCCTTCTGAGCGCGCAGAATGCAACTGTTCCATGGAAATTTGAAAAAAAATGAAACTCGTTCAGAAAAAAAACTACTTACTTCACTGTGCTAGCATTGAAAGGTATGAGAAGGTAGTCGCACGCGTCACGCAGCTCCGCCACTGAGATGTTCGGTGGACAGCGCATTTGGCCATGGGTATAGTATTCCAAAGCAACTCGGAAACACGCAGCGGTTGTACCGTCAGCCACCTGCAACCGAAGTGAGACTTGAGATAAAGATAAAAAATTGGAGAAAAAAATCAAGCGAAATATTTACGGTAGGCAAAACGATTTCAATATGGGGGCTACTTTCCTCATTTCCTGTTCCCTTCCAAACAACCGTACCCATTAAACTCAACATTTTTTTCAGATTTCATGACCTTACATCTGTGACTGACTCAGTAATACTAACAACCTTGTCCAAGACAGAAATAAAGAACGAAAAGGAGTAACCAGGTAGCCGTCAAATGTGCTCACAGGCATACCGTACGGTAACTGAGTGGGCGGAGACACCCAGCCATTGCACCTTCTTCATTGGTGCGCCTTCCTTTGTGATACGCTAGCGAAAACAGGCCTGCTAACGAGGAAGGCATGATGACGGGGTGTCCCCGCCCTCCATTGTCGTGCAACGTGCCCTTACGGTAAC